AGCTGCAGGTCATCTATCCAGACTTCAAAGTCAATGGCCCGACCCTCAGCGTCAAAAGCGAGGACACTAGGGGTAGCCATGACAGCAGTAGACTAGCAGTGCAAACAGTAGGGTGAGGGCAGTGCTGTGAGAGAGGCGCTGCTCTTACCGGACAGGGCGGCTCGGGCGGCTCGGCTGCAGGGCGGCTCGGCGACTCGACGGCTGGGCGGCTCGGCTGCTGGGCGGCTCGGCTACTCGGCTGCTGGGCGGCTCGGCTGCTGGGCGGCTCGGCGGCTGGGCGGCTCGGCTGCTGGGCGGCTCGGCTGCTGGGCGTATCGGCGGCTGGGCGGCTCGGCTGCTGGGCGGCTCGGCTGCTGGGCGGCTCGGCGGCTGGGCGGCTCGGTTGCTGGGCGGCTCGGCGGCTCAGCGGCTGGGCTGCTCGGTTGCTGGGCGGCTCGGCGGCTGGGCTGCTCGTAGGAGTAGGCGTGGGGGCCGTAGGAGCAGGCGCCGGGGCCGTAGGAGCAGGGGCCGGGGCCGCTAGGGCGGCGGATCGGGGCCGCGAGGGCGGCGGATCGGGGCCGCGAGGGCGGCGGAGTAGGGGCCGCGAGGGCGGCGGAGTAGGGGCCGCGAGGGCACCGGATCGGGGCCGCGAGGGCGGCGGATCGGGGCCGCGAGGGCGGCGGAGTAGGGGCCGCGAGGGCGGCGGATCGGGGCCGCGAAGGGCGGCGGATCGGGGCCACGAGGGCGGCGGAGCGGGGCCGCGAGGGCGGCGGATCGGGGCCACGAGGGCGGCGGATCGGGGCCGCGAGGGCGGCGGAGTAGGGGCCGCGAAGGGCGGCGGAGTAGGGGGGGGGCGCGAGGGCGGCGGATCGGGGCCGCGAAGGGAGGCTGCCGGCGCCGCGAGGGTGGGGCCGCGGGGTCGCTAGGGTAGGGCGACAGAGCCGCGAGGGCGGCTCGAAGGGGCCGCGAGGGCGGCGCGAAGGGGCCGCTAGGGCGGCGCGAGAGAGGGGAGCGCGACTCGGGCAGGGGCTGAGTGCGCTCCGGGCAGGAAAAAAAAACGGTGGGCCCTAGGAACAGTTCCCACGAGGGAACCTGCTCGATACCATGAGAAGAAACAAGGAATGAATGAACTATGAATGAATTGGGTACAAGTACTAACCCTAATTGGGTTGTACCCCTTATGGACTACCCCACTATAGCCTACACAATATGCATGAGCTATAATATTCTGACAGTTTACGCAATTGTCGAGTACTTGTTGTCATTCAGTTGGCGCTATACAGAAAGTTGTCGACTCCAAAAAAAAAAAAAAAAAAAAAAAAACTATTCTCATCGCCTTGAGACCTATCGTAAACGCGTCATCATTGTCGAACTTTCAACGTTTTTATGTTCAATCCCTGATTTTCAGCGTTCGGTTTTAGCAAGGTCTGCATTTCGGAGCAATTTCCAGTATACGACATAGTCTTTCGCGGTATGACAAGCCATGCCAGCGTCTTGGTGTGACCATATCCATGTGCTAATTGAAGGCTCTTGTTGGGAGCCACAAGCCGTTTTTTTTACAGCACGCTTGGATACATGCACAAGGATCCTCTTACATTCACATATCATACATGAACATTCATTGTAGAAAAACCCACCAGGACATGAAAGTCCATGTGGATAGCGCACACGTACTTGATTTCTTCGGACTCGTTGTGACGTGTATACCCCATTTGGATTGACCATTTCACAGCCCCTCACCTTGAAGTCTTTCGTCTTTTTATGAAGTCACACCACCAAAAGGGGAAGGATATCGATCTGGCGTGCGATCTGTCAACATCATTGCACTTTTGTTAACACAAACTCGTGTCTTGAGCATGCACGTTACGAGCATAATGCTGGAGGATGGATTGGAAATATTTGGTTGGTTGTCGCTTCTATGCGCACATCTAACCTTATAGCTGATGTGATTCGGACCTTTTGGTCTACACAAAAGGTGGATCTCGTCGAGAGGCGGGTTGCTTGCCCTCACACACCCACTTCACTGATGATATTCCATGTCGTAATGGCTGACGTTTCATAAAATTTCCCATATCGTATAGCATGGTTTTTCCATTGCGTACTAACCGTTGGTTCCCCTTTTCATGGCTCCTGCATCTATTGAACCTTGAACACATAGTGCTACCGTATTTACAGAGGCGCTAAATTCGATACTGCATGTTTTGCTGTTAATTGACAACGAATGCCCTATCAAGGGCACCGGATTGTAAGCTGGTTACACAAGCTGTATGCATTGTACACATTGGAAATGCGTCAAAGTTTGGTATGTGCTTCACAACTCCTTTGCAGCAACATGCCACTAGTCTTCAGCCTTAATACTCGAGGCAACATCGTTTGCATACCATGCAACCAGTGCATCAACATGTTAACGTGAGCAATACGTCATCGACCGTGATCTACGGTAAATACGACTTAGTCATGTAGTCATGCTGCGAAAGGCCCGCCCTACATCGAAGTGACGTGATGTTATTGCACAATGTTGACATTATGCTCAATTCAACAACTATGGTTAGTTACCATAACTTCCCGACTTCATCACTTACGTGCTCGGTCGTCGGATAAACGACTAACATCCTCGAACGACTGCCAAAGGGTTTTATTTAGGTTCTCTTACGAGATGGATGGCGCCTCATCGCTACTGACGATTTCTTGCGACAATCACTGTGCAACTTATTGCTCACTCGATTCTTACGCGCATCTGATACTTCTTTCATTGTTCTCTTCTTGGGAACCTCCCCCACAATAGTAGGTGAGGGTATATAGTTCCTCCATTCCATTCCGTCCTTCCCTACTAAGGTAAAACCCTGAGTTCTAGAGCCTTGCTCCCGACACACCTAATGTCTCTTATCTCCTATGACGACTGCTCTGCAGACTCCTTGGAGAGTCTTGTCTTAATATGTAAATTTTTTAAATACAATTTTCAAAATTTAAAGATTATGACAAGACTTGTAAAGGATTATGCAGTAAGGAGTCATCTGCTCCTTATCTCGTGGCAGGTCCACAGACCTGCCACCTAGTCGAATCATTTCTAGATCTGAATCTAGAACCCACCCTCCCGCCCTTACGCTAGTTAGTAGCCTCGTTAGCCTCGTATCTATACCAGTGGTAGTTATTTTCGTCTCGTTATATCCTCATTATCTTTGTAATTTGCAATCTAGTGTGCTGTATGATTGAGATCTGAAATATGACGACTGCTCTGCTCTGACGACTGCTCTGCAGACTCCTTGGAGAGTCTTGTCTTAATTGACCCGCACAAACTGACCCGCACAAACTGACCCGCACAAACTGACCCGCATAAACACACCCGCACACACATGCATACACAAATAGGATTGAGAGCAGACAAGCATAACGAAGAGTTGCAATCAATTTATTATGTATCAATCACTGCTAGATTGACCCCCCTTCCTCCCTCTTTTCGCCTTCCCCCCTCTCCCTGTATCAATCAAAATCTCCTCCCACCCTTTTCCACATTGTCTTCTCTCTCGCATTCCCCTCCCTGCTCCCAATAATGCGTCTTGCACACCTTGCAAAACCAACAGAGTAGAAAATAAATAGTCGTCGGAGAAAGCAGCAAAAAATATTAAACAACGAGCGCGTACTTGAATGCGAAATGGAACTGGAAGCATGTATGGGTTGAAATATGACAAGTACAGAATGAAATTAACGGAAAATATTGATACAAAATAGAAATGAAACGCAATTCTTGCAAAGCAATTCGACGACTCACAAGCGTGGTTTGAAACATCGATCCCCTGAGGTCACGCACACAACGCTGGTGTGCGAAAAGGGTCCAGCGAGCAAGACACATAGGTGCAACGAGCTGGGCATCGCCACGCTACAAGGGGCCAGAGAGTTGCAGCAAGGCACGGCAGACTGAGAAGAGAAAGCGGGCTGCCGTACCAAGGCCTGAGCACACGGCAGCAAGGCGTGAGCTCACTGCAGCAACGCGTGAGCTCACTGCAGCAAGGCGTGAGCTCACTGCAGCAAGGTGTGAGCTCACTGCAGCAACGCGTGAGCTCACTGCAGCAATGCGTGAGCTCGCTGCGGCAACGCGTAAGTTCGCTGCAGCAATGCGTGAGCTCGCTGCAGCAACGCGTGAGCTCGCTGCAGCAACGCGTGAGCTCGCTGCAGCAACGCGTGAGCTCGCTGCAGCAACGCGTGAGCTCACTGCAGCAAGGTGTGAGCTCACTGCAGCAAGGCGTGAGCTCACTGCAGCAAGGCGTGAGCTCACTGCAGCAAGGCGTGAGCTCACTGCAGCAAGGCGTGAGCTCCCTGCAGCAACGCGTGAGCTCACTGCAGCAACGCGTGAGCTCACTGCAGCAACGCGTGAGCTCACTGCAGCAACGCGTGAGCTCACTGCAGCAACGCGTGAGCTCACTGCAGCAACGCGTGAGCTCACTGCAGCAAGGCGTGAGCTCACTGCAGCAAGGCGTGAGCTCACTGCAGCAAGGCGTGAGCTCACTGCAGCAAGGCGTGAGCTCACTGCAGCAAGGCGTGAGCTCACTGCAGCAAGGCGTGAGCTCACTGCAGCAAGGCGTGAGCTCACTGCAGCAACGAGTGAGCTCACTGCAGCAACGAGTGAGCTCACTGCAGCAAGGCGTGAGCTCACTGCAGCAACGCGTGAGCTCACTGCAGCAACGCGTGAGCTCACTGCAGCAACGCGTGAGCTCACTGCAGCAACGCGTGAGCTCACTGCAGCAAGGCGTGAGCTCACTGCAGCAAGGCGTGAGCTCACTGCACCAAGGCGTGAGCTCACTGCACCAAGGCGTGAGCTCACTGCAGCAAAGCGTGAGCTCACTGCAGCAACGTGTGAGCTCACTGCAGCAACGCGTGAGCTCACTGCAGCAAGGCGTGAGCTCACTGCAGCAACGCGTGAGCTCACTGCAGCAACGCGTGAGCTCACTGCAGCAACGCGTGAGCTCACTGCAGCAAGGCGTGAGCTCACTGCAGCGAGGCGGCAGCGCGTAAGGCGGCAGCGCCTAAGGCGGCAGCGCGTTAGGCGCCAGCGCGCAAGGCGCCAGCGTGGTAGGCGCCAGCGCACAAGGCGCCAGCGCGGTAGGTGCCAGCGCGCAAGGCGCCAGCGCGCTAGGCGCCAGCGCGCAAGGCGCCAGCGCGCAAGGCGCCAGCGTGCAACGCGCCAGCGCGCAACGCGCCAGCGCGCTAGGCGCCAGCGCGCTAGGCGCCAGCGCGCAAGGCGCCAGCGCGCAAGGCGCCAGCGCGCAAGGCGCCAGCGCGCAAGGCGCCAGCGCGCTAGGCGCAGCGCGCAAGGCACCTGCGCGCAAGGCGCCAGCGCGCAAGGCGCCAGCGCGCAAGGCGCCAGCGCGCTAGGCGCCAGCGCGCAAGGCGCCAGCGCGCAAGGCGCCAGCGCGTTAGGCGCCAGCGCAATGCTAAGACGAAACCAATTGGCACAGGGAACTTACGAAGAAAGTAGAAAACATAGGAAATTTCGGGCGGAAGAGGGAGGTAAAAAAGTCCGGGAAACGTAAACGCACCTGAGACAACGGTGCCTCAGAAAACAACGTGCGGTCGTGCAGAAACCCGCGCTCATGCTCGTGCACCCACCAGAGGCGACGGCGGGAAGGGAGGGAGAGGCGACGGAGAGGAGGAAGGGAGAGGCTATGACGGGGTGGAGGCAGAGGCGATGCAGGATAGGAAGGAGCGGCGACGGCGGCTGAGAGGCAGACAGACGAGATGGTGGGGAGTGAGGGAGAGGATAAAGTGGGATGGGAGGAGAGGCGACGGCGGGGTATTAGGAGAACAGGAAAGCTAACATGGTAGGTAGGCGCGACGGCAGGAACCTAAGTAGAACAAGAACCAAGAACAAGAAATCAAGAATCAAGAATCAAGAACCAAGAACGAAGAAGAGGGGAGCGTCGAATTCGGATTGACAGGTGTGGAAAGAAATACTACAGTGTTTACTCCTTAGAAGAGGAAAACATTTTTTTGCAAAAACAAATTCTGACATTGTAGATATGTTTGTATCGCAAAGATGGTACCTTTGCTGCATGATGTTCATAAAATGAGATTGTTGCTATCGAGGGTCGTGATGTTGTTGGCGCAATTCTAAGTAGATACAACCCTGATGAATCGCTTTCCATAGGTATGGTATAATATATACCACTGTAATGTTTCTTATACTAGAAATATAACCTTACGCAACCCTTACGACGTAAACGTAGAATCTTGTTTTTGTTTTTTCTTTTTGGTGGATATAAGTACACTGCCAGCATACATACATCCGCAGTCGTAACTGTTGCTAGGAGGGCATGGAAACGCGGGGTTAGCGGTGGTTGACATGTTTCGGTTCGGAACGAATCAGAAGGTGGAACAAAACTTCGGGCGGTTGACATGACCGGCCATTGTTTTCAAGGCGTTCATTTTCACACCTGGTCTGAGCAACAAATACACCACCAGGACTCTGTATTTTACTGGATGGACCATTTTTTCTCGACAGCTGGCGGAACTTCTCTGAACGCAGCTTGTGCTCGCACTAGCTGGCGTATTTGAGTGCGACAGTCGGTTGGAAATCGCTACTTAGGGCGTGTTACATTTTTGACTTCAGCCCGTCCGGACAGGCAGTCGTCCGGACTTTTGTGTGGTTACCCTTCTCGTTGTGTTTCGTGAATTGCATCGTTAGACCTCTTGCGACGTCGTTAACGATCGGACCGGTGATGGAACATTTTGCGCGAATTGCCTTCCCCAATCGACCAGACGATTACAGTTCGATTAGTGGACGGACGTAACAGTAACGCAAATTCATTGGTCAACGATTCAAGTCTTCAGGTCGCTTTGGTGTTACCTTTATCGTAATCTGTTCGTGATTGTGGTTACAACCTCGCAAACATTCGAATTTTCGTCAGGTTGAAAATGTTTCATCTACAACGTCGGACGAGGTTTAGTCCGAACGTTGGACTCGTACTGCCCGAGATTCGGAATCTGAACCGTTCTCGGACGGTTGTCCGGACTTTAGCCAGTTTTAAAAAATGTAATACGCCCTTAGTCCGCCTATGTTTCACAAACCCACAAATCCTCACAAGGATGATCGATCTGGGCTATTACACTACGATATCGAATTCAACGACTTAGTGGAAACAGATGCACCTAGCACGTACCTAAGCTGTACGGGCGCACCATCGCCACACCAAATCAGACCGAACTAGCTTGCAGAACCGAAAAGTTCAGCAAGTATGGCTGGCTTCCCAACCAAGCCGTAGTGCCGAAGCGGCTACCGAAGCACCGTGCTGGTGTGCTAGGTGCGCGGGAGAAAGGATTCCCATGAAGGTGTGCCTCGCTTTTCGCTTTTAGGAGCTCATTTGCTACCGAATGTGAAGCATATATCTTTCTTTATACAGAGCTTATTTGACTCAATACCGGGCACCAGTACACTAGTATATTCCTGCAATGCTCAAAAACAAATTAAACAGCAATACAAGATGTGTCGGTCTTCAGGTGGAAGACCTTCTATCCTAATCTCAATCAACTCACTAACAACCACTATAGATTACCTAATGAAAGGTTATGTATGAGAATATGATAATCTACTGGTAGATCTAGGTTATTGGTACCCTGGTTAGTCGGAGAATGTTCCATCACTGGTCAGTCAAGACTGGCAAGCCTGCTACCGCTGCCGTTTACCCCTTTCCAATCTTGCCATGGCACCAGTTATGGTTACCCCTAGTGCGGGCGAATGCCTGCCAGCACAAGCATCGACTTGCTCACACTCTCTCCTACGTTTCTGCAACTTACCAGTCTCCGCGTGCCCCCGTTGTATGGGAAAAAGCGGCTGCACGACACAGTCTGCACCCAGCTTCCGCTTTATCCGCAGGACGCTCTGCCTCTCCTTCCACGATCTTGATCGCTCCAACCTCGCTGCCACCCGTCTTCCCAGCAGAGAGCTGCTTCTCGAATCCTTCCTTCGTGCAACGGGAACAGGAGATGCTGCTTTCCCTGCCCCAAGCATGCTTGCAGCTGCCCCGGAACCTCTGACCGCCTCTGCACACCTCTGAAAACTCCCCACATTGCTGTGTGATCCTAACGAGCTCCCCAATGCACTACCTCCTGTTGCTTGCATGCCATCCTTCTTCTGCCTCTTGCAGTTGCTGTGAAGCAGCATTTCCTCTTGTTCTCTGCATCTCCTAATCTCGTCCACCCCTGCTCTCTCTGTTCTGCCACAGTCCTCATCCTCCTCCTCCTCTTCATCTCCAATCACCCTCTCCCTTGCTTCCTCCACCTCTCCTTCCTCTGTGCTCTCGTCCACCAGCTTCCTCCTCTTCTCTTCATTCCGCTCTTCCAAAACCTCCCTCCCATTCACGCCCTTGGAAGTCTCTGTCAAAACCCTTCGATTTTTCATTACCCTCCGCCCTCCACCCTCGGACCCCTGATTCTCCCCTTCCTCCCACTCCTGTTCCTCCTCTTCCAGCCTCCCGCACTCTCTCACACTGGACAACGGCACGGGAGGAGGAGGCTGAGACGCAGGAGGAGGCCGAGAGGCAGGAGGGAGCGGAGGGAGCTCCCGTGTTCGAGCCTTTCTTTTTCTGTGGCCAGTGTCTCCCTTCTCACTGCCACTTTTGTTGCTGTCACTGCCCAAACCGCTACCAGAAGCACCATCACTATTTTCAAACCCATCTGCTCTTCCGGCAGCATCGGCGAAAGTGTCTCCCTCCCGCTGATGCCTCTCTCCTTGATTCTCCCTTCCCTGCTGCCCATTCCCCTTGCCTTTTCCCTTCCCTCTGGCCTCCCCTGTCCCATTTCCTCCTTCTCGTATCTGAGACGGGGCCACATACCCCCGCAGCTCCTCCTGCCGCCGATTCAGTGAATGTAGACGCACGAAGAAAGATGACCCACGGGAATAGCAGCGCGGGGCAGAGGAAGAGGGAGCCGTGGAAGTGAGGCTACTGGACGCTTCAACAGGAGGGGCTATGGCGGAGGAATGGGAGGAGGATGAGAGAGGGAGGCTGGTGGGTTGTAGGAGGCCGTGTGGGTCCACAGAGAGACTCACGTTGCCATTGTTGACCTGGGATGGTTGCATGGGTGAAAGGGGAGGGAAAAGGGAGGGGTGCATAAGGCGCATTGTAGACCACTGAAGGGTAGGAAGAGCAATGTCAGCAGCAAGGTAGGGGAGGACCAGCCATTGATCCGAACATCTCAGCGCGTTGCAACAAAATAACGTTGTTTCAAGTGAACACAGTATGAGAGAGATGGGAGGATTGCAGGCATAGCAGATGTGGGAGCACAGGACGCAACGCTACTCACCAGCTGCAGCAATGCGGAGAAGTATCGAGGGACCTCATATTCAAGTGGAGTGTTGATCACGTTCTCAAACAGGTCCTCACACAGCTGCTGCTGCTGCCGCCCTTCCGCTCCTTGCCCCGCGCCCTCCATTTCACCCATCTCCTGCTGCTCCTGCTGCCGCTGCTGCTCCTGCTGCATGTGTTTCTGTTCCAAGGCTGAAAGAATCCGGTCCCCATACACATGTATGTCAAATGGTGGCCGCTCGTCCTGCCAAACAGTACAAGCTCAAGTCAGTGAGCTGCTACTTAACAAATTCGTTTCCTCTGACCAGAGGACTGATAGCTGCACCACCAAGGTTCTCTGGAAGATCCCCTGCCAACACTCACCTGTTGCTCAAGAAGCGGCAGAATGCGAGACTGCCAGTCCCCCACCCTCGTTTCCACTTCTGATCTTCGCGCCTGCATTTCCGCCGCCCTCTGTATCATCTCCGCCTGACTCAGAGCAAAAGGAAAGGAGCAGGGGAAGGGGAGCGTGTGGTGGTTGGGTGGGGGGAGGGAGAAACGCCTTTGCTTCAAATGCGGGGACAGGGATGGCGTTTAGCGTTAGCTACGGGGATGTGTATCATGCATCTTGCATGTGTTGTCACACGCCTACTGCAGTGTTGATATGTGACAGGAGCATGCAAAGTCTGATGCACATGACTCACCACATGGGCGTCTCGCATGGCTTCCACTGTTGCCACGTGCGGTGCTGAGGGGTCCGCCGGCAGGGGTGTGTCGGAATGCAGAACGTTAGCCTCCCAGTCCATGCCTGGCTGCTTCCACACGCATGCACACATACACGCAGTGCAAGCCATTATGACGAAGCACCCACGACCAGTGATGTGATTAAGAAGGTTGTCTCCGAGGGAAGCAAGAAAAGTTTCAAAAACAGTGATAGAAACTCAAGATGATCCCAAAAGGTCCTTTAGAGTGGGTAAATGAGGCTTGTTTTCACCGGGAGGGATGTGAGAGAAGATCAAACAGGTTCAGTTCAGGCGCGGAGGGACATAGGTAGTGCGCTGGGAGGGTATGAGGACGTGAATGCGATAGCATTTCATCCACAGCACAGAAAATGTACGTGCGTCCGTGTGTGCGTGCATACAGGGAATACTCACCAACGGGTTACCATCAAGCGGTGTGTGCTCCACGCCCGTCCGCTCACCCTCCCCGTCCTCCCCGTCGCTCCCCGCTGCACCGTCACCACCGCACTCGTCATCATCCTCTATATCCATCCCGTCGAATCCGAATCCTTGTGCTCCATGCCCATCCGCGCCCGCGTTCGCGTCCCCGTGTGCGCCGCCAGCGCCCCCCCTGTGCGCGGATCCGTGGGAGCCATGGGCGCGTTCCCCGTCGTCGGGGTTTGCTTCTAGGTCCGCGAAGACGTTGCCTGCTGGGGGCTCCAGAGCACTGCCTGCCTGCTGGACGCGCAGCAGCACGAGGGTGCACACAAGGGCCCACAGACACACACACACCACACACACACACACCACACACACACACACCACACACACACACACACACATCACACACACACACACCACACACACACACACACCACACACACACACACATCACACACACACACACCACACACACACACACCATACACACACACACACACACACCACTCACACACACACACACACACCACACACACACACACACACACAACACACACACACACACAGAGAGACACACACCACGCACGCTGTTAGATCCAGTGGTCGTGAGAATACTATAAGTTTTGCAAACAGCCCCACTTTAGCACCCACGTTCTCTATCCCGCCGTCCTCCCCTCACGCCTCACCCATGCCCACCATCCACCCCCCTCCTCCCGCCCATCCCTCCCTACCTTCTGCGACCCTCCGCCGTCGAAGCTCCCCTTTGGAACCCCGCCTTGCTGCCTCTTGCTGTCGCGTATCACCGCACGCTGCATGATGCTCTCTATGTCTGGGAATATCATGCCGCGACCCTTGCCGGCCAGCAGAGGGAACGACAGCCACACGCCCAGATCGCTCAGACTGCTGGTCAAATCGCCACCGTCGGTTTTGCGCTTGGCGCGCAGGTAGGGCCGGCCTGGGGGATGGGGGAGTCCGGGAGAAGGGAGAGGGGCGAGGTTCCGGGGAGGGTGGACGGGAGAGGGAATTTGGGGGGGAAGGAGGGGGGAAGATGGGCGCGTGTGCGTGAGAAAGATGGGGCTAATTTCGAAGGGGGACAATGGAAATTCTTGAGAGGGACAAAGGAGAATCTTCAGATCCATCGAGGGAAAAACAGCAGTTTTCAGCCTCTTCCCCGCGGAGCGACGACCCCCGCTTCCCCTCACCTTTCCGCAACGGCCTTTGCGGCATGCACCCTGCGTCATCGGGATCGAGTGGGGCGAACGGGTCGTACTCCACTGCCGCCTCCCCCTGCCCTCCGCCCCTCCCGCTCGCACTCCCCTTGCCGCTGCCCTTCCCACTCCCTCTTTTCGATCCCGATTTGTTCTGCGCACTCCCAGGTACATCCAATCCACCGCCACTTCCGGCTCCGCTTCCGCTTCCCCCAACTCCCCCGCTCCATTCCCCCGCGTGCGACCCATGCGCATCTGCGCCACCCGCGTCTGCCTCCCCCCATTCCCCGCAGTCAAACCCGCCAGCCGTCCCCATCCCATCCTCATCCTCATCATCCCCCGAACCCATTCCCCCCATGCCTTCCGCCGCCTGCCATTCGCTCTGCCACGCAGCCCCCTCCCCCCACTGCGCGCACCCCGCTCCCCCCATGTCTTCCGCCACTACTGTCCCGCGTTCCGCGTAGGGCGATGAACTCCACCCGTTGCGCGGAAACGGGGGGGTGCAATCCGGGGAGAGGCCCGGTTGGGGGAAGGTGAAGGCGGGGGAACCGGCGCCCCCGGCCGCGCTGAGGTGCGCGGGGCGACGACGCCGCGGGAGGCGCAGCAGCGCATCCATGACGTCCCCGTCTTGCGCCTCCAGGAAAACAGACCCCGACACGTGGCTGACGAAAGCGGCCATCTGAAAGAAAGCCAAGTGAAACGCAGGGGGGCAGGAACGGGTGTAGGGTGGGGCGGTGGTGGGTGCGGGGGTGGGAGGTGGAGAGTTGGGGGTGGATTAGTCGTGACGTGAAAATAGTTCAGTCGGCTGAAGACGATGGGACAGCAGGAGTGATCCGAAACAAGGCCACTATGTAGCACAGCAGAGCACCTCCAGAAAACTGCTAAGTACCCAACGACCTCCAAATGACCGAGGGACTCCCGTGGACCACTAGGCAACTCCCAAGAACCGCTACACACATCCCAAGAACCGCTACACACATCCCAAGAACCGCTTTGCACTGAATGACCCGTGGTACCTTGAAGGCGGAGAGCTCAGATAACGGCACGGTACTGGACCCCTTCCCCCCATCCAGCTCCTCCTCTACTGTCAGCAGTATGGGTGGCGCGCGCGGCGGCAGCTTCGACCCCTGCCGCGCTGCTCCTCCTGCCAGCCTTCCCTCGTCGTCGGCGTCATCGTCGTCCTCTGTGGTTTTCTTCTGTCCCTTTTCTCGCATGTCCAACCGCGACGGTTCCGAACCGGACCCAACCACTGGGTCAATAACGAGCCGAGAAGGGAGTGAAGGAGCAGAGAGGGAGCAAGGGAGGAGGGAAGTCGAGAGGTACAGTGATTGTGAGACACAGGGAAACGAAGATCAGGAGCCAGTAGGGCTAGAAAGCTAGCGGATGGGATTACGCTATGGTGGCATGAGGGAAGTCAAGCAGAAGGCAATCAAATGAGTGAACGCCACAAGTCAGTACATGAACTGACCTTCCACGTCATCCAGCGATAGGAACCGTCGCATGTCGCAGTCATCGCCGTCGCCGCCATCGCCCTGCGCGTCGCCGGATTCCTCCCCGTCATTGCTGCCGTTCGTGTCCCTGCCGTGACAACAGTCCATCGTTGCGCAAACAGCATCATCCACAATAAATTAGTTTCGACAATACGTGTGTATCAAAGCATAGTCATTCTCCTCTGTTCATGCCTAGTGTTTTCGGATCCTGTGATCATGCCTAGTGTGCACTATCCTGTGATCTCTCGATTCCTAGGGACTGGTTGTGAGTGCAATGATATCCTTCGTCGACTACTCACCCGGTCGTGAGAGCAGTCAGCGTGTGCAGCACGAGGCTGTGCAAGTAGTCCGTCTTGCGACTGTAGATCCCCGCCGAACCTTGCACGACCAGCGCCGCTGCCAGGACGAACAGAATACATTCAAGTATTAAGTGAAACGAGAGCAACGAACACGATCGCGTACCAGCTCTATCAGTATTCTACTCCCCTCTACCTGTTTTTCAAAACTCAATATAGCTCCTTCAGTGCCTATCCATGGATCTAAGCACCAATACGTCAAACGTAGCCTGTCAAAATCAGTGATTTCGCACCTTCCACGAAGTTCAGGGTGGCACCGTCCTGCAGCGAGCTAGCTGCACCTTGCAACTCGTTCAGGTATTCGCCTAATACGCTAGCCACGTCGATGGTCCAGTTGAGGGCTAGATCTCTCTCGGGGAGGAGAATCTTCGTGAACCTGCTTCCTGCATCTTCCTCTCCTCCCCTGCCTACGCCGGAATGCATTCTAAGTTGTGTATAAATAACTTAGTCCGTAGTAAGGGCTGAAGTTAACAAGCCACAGGGTTGGCGGAAAAATGGTTCAGCCTTATCATTTCAGCACAAAAACAGCGATTTAGTTCGCACTAGGTTACTGGACGAAAGGCTCAGTTCTAAGACACGATAAGTTGACAACATATGTTGACACTTTAGCCTTATCAACCCTTGCGTCCTTTTGTCTGCTGTTACGGACGGAAATCTACTTCCTAACGGAAACTGAATACGCTAAGAAAGCAGTAGCTACTTGCTCAGGGTGCCTAAGAAAGGCGCAGTGACACAATGACACTGAAGCTGAGAAGCCTCGGCTTCTGGCTCGAGCTGAGAGGAGAGAGTGAGAGGAGGTTCCAGGCTGCACTCCAGCCACACCAACCCTTGCCTGTCAGAGTCCTTGATCCTGCCAAGTCGGCCTTTCTGGTTCAAATTTCTCCCGCCAACGATTCGGCTGACCTCGAGGCGTGGCGGGAGTATTGGAATTCCCAAGGCATTTTTGAAGTTTTGTTGCGTTTGGGCGGAGTCGATAAGAGCAACCTGCATTACCTACAAATTTGAGCTTTATCCAGTGTCTATGGTGCTATTCTTGATGCTGTAAAATGTTTTTCGATGAAAACATCAAACGCTACACCAGTGTAAGTAAACAAGCATACATTAATGAATAAATAAAAAATGCTTTAAACTTGTTTTAAAAGAATTATCCAAGCTTTTCCACAACAATTTGATTCTGATTTTGCAATTTTGTTGGTACAGATCCAATCACCGCGCAGAAACTCTTCTCACCGCACATTATCGTACAAGTTCATCCTCCAGCACGCAACTTGCACCGCAGCAGCTGCAAGCAGCACCCACATGATCGTGGGATGTGCGTCTCGGCCTTCACAGTTCCCCACGCATTAGTCCATACCTCCCGCTCCTCCGCTATCTTCCAGTCAGTCCTTCTCCGTCCGCAGCGCAGACTGCTGTTTTTCTACCGATTTACGTGCCTAACTGTTTGAAAATCTCTGGAGATCCATCTCGGGACTCAGCTCTGGATTTTGTAGCGATCATGGGCAAAGTGCGTCCGTCCGCGTTGTTGCAGCGCGCCAAGCAGCAGCGGGCCGAGGCTGCCGGCAAGCCGTCCGTGCCCGTCAAGGGATGCATCGCGCTGACCCTCCTGCTGCTCGGGACGATTCTCTTCCTGCGCAGGACTTCTTCCCCGTGAGTCGCCACGCGTTTTTTTTTCGTCTTTTGAACTACTTTTGACCTCAATCAAAACAACTCGTTTCATTCCTTCCTCTGTTTCCCCCTTTCCCCCTCTTTCGCCTCTTTCCCGTTGGTTCTATTGACGCCAGCCATGGTCCAGTTTTTATTGGATTCTCACAATCTGTTGTTCCCATCTGTCTCCTCTCCTCACGCTCCTCATTTCTTCACTCGTGTGTAGTTAGATTCCTCGCGACTGCTACAGCTGCTGCTTCGCCAATCAGCTCTGTTCTGACATGATAGAATGTGCTTTGGTTTTCGCATCACCCCTTTCCTCCCAGCTTTCTCCCTTCTCCCCTGCGTTTCTACATCTCTCTCTTTCTCACATAATACCTTGTGTGCCCCGTCCCGCCCTTACCCTTCTCCCCGCGGCCCCCCATATCCACACCCTACTTCCCATGCGCCTGCAAACCCCCAGTCATCACGCAAGCACCTTATGGAGTCTGGGCAGAAGGGGGCAACAGGGGAGGCAAGAGAGATTGGGAAGAAGCTCCCCAAAGTGGTGCGTGGGTAGGGCTGCATGTGGGTAGGGCTGCATGTGGGTAAATAGATGGCTTTTGAGACGCTGCAAAAGTCGGGCAGGGGAGGCAAGGGAGATGGGGAAGAGCCTTTCCAAAGTGGTGTATACATGCGCCGCAGGTCTGGGTGGGGGTTCGGGTGGGTGGATGGGCGTGAACGTGGGTGCATGGGTTTACGGGCATGATTTCGCCACCTTAATCGCTCTAGAGTTTCTCCCTCGTTGATTTCTTGCTGACCTGCCGTCCTGCCGTCCTGTCAACCTGCAGCTATTAAAGACGTCCTTAGGCGACATAGTGGTGGAGCTGTATGCGGATGATTGCCCCAAGACTGTGGAGAATTTCCTCACTCACAGGTGCATTTCTCACGCTTTTCTCACGCACGGGCGCTTTATCCTCATGCACCTGTGCTTTATCCTCATGCACCTGTGCTTTATCCTCTTGCACCTGTGCTATATCACATTCAGATGCTTCCTCACACTCAGATGCTTTTTCACTCAGGTGATTCCTCGTATGCAGGTGCTCTTCAGGTGCTTCCTCACACTCAGATGCTTTTTCACTCAGGTGATTCCTCGTATGCAGGTGCTCCTCAGGTGCTTCCTCACACTCAGATGCTTCGTCACTCATCCACCCAGCCTGATCCCTTAATCCTCCTGCCCCCGGCCTCCCACCCACCAGCAAGAACAAGTACTACAAGGGAATCATCTTCCACCGAGTCATCCCAGGCTTCATGATCCAGGGCGGAGACCCCACGGGCACGGGGCGGGGAGGCGAGTCCATCTGGGGCGGCTCATTCGAGGACGAGATTCGCCCGCATTTGAAGCACGAGCCGTTCACTCTCTCCATGGCCAATGCGGGCCCTGACTCCAACGGCAGCCAGTTCTTCATTACCACTGTTGCCACGCCGCACCTCAATGACCACCACACTGTCTTCGGCTCGGTCATTAAAGGGAAAGACGTGGTGCAGGTGTGTTTTCCGCTTCGCTTGCCTGGCCGGCCTAGTCCCCCTCTTTCCGATCCACCTGTGGTTGCCATCAATTCGCCCTTCCCCCCCTCCTCCTCCTCTTGTTCTGTCTCCTTGTATCCTACCTCCCGTTTTCCTTCAGATCTGTTGCAATCATTCTTACTCCCACTCGTGGTGCGGTGGTTCCACCGGTGCTTTGCTGTAGTAGGGTGCAGTGTGCTTCTGCACAGTCATGTTTGTTTCATGCGCACTGTTCGTGTATCGATGGATATGTCAGCTGATGCTTCCATTGCATGTCCTTTGACATGATCATGCGTGCATGGATCATGCTCTGAGCTTGTTGGTTGCATGTGTGTGTGTGCATGCATATGTCTGTGTGCATGCATGTGTATGTGTCCTTGTGTATGTGTGTCGGCATGTATGTGTGCATGTGCATGTGTATGCATGTGTGCATGTGCATGCATGTGTGCATGCAAGTGCATGTGTGTACATGTGTATGCATGTGTGCATTGCATGTGCATGTGGGTATGCATGTGTGCTGTGCATCCCTGTGTGTGTGGCACCATGCAACCAGGCCATAGAGAATGTTCAGACAGATTCCAGTGACCGACCGCTGACAGCTGTTACAATTCTGGACGTAGAGGTTGACCCTGACACCTGCTGCTGAGTGCAGCACTGGAGGTCAGAAGGAACGTTTTGGGATTGCAACAGTGCCCGTATCCGTGCTGTTTTGCTCATGTCCCTACTGCGGGCTGCAGTAGGCATGCACTAAGATCTAGGCTCTCGAACCGTGCTCAGCATTTGCGCTATAGAGTCTAGCTTCTATTTCTCACAGTGCTGTAGGTGCATTCCATGCATTCTGGGTTTCATGTACAACAATTTCACTTGAGTTGGTGAGTTGTTTAGGGACCACATGCATTCACAGTAACTTCTCTGTATAAAAGCAACATCCTCACGGTAGCGCTGACACTTACATCCTTTCCGCACGTTCAGAAATGCCGAATAATGACAGGCACGTCAGCATTTCTTGCCCGAAGGGCGGCAAAAACGCGTGTTTGATGTGGCATCTTGACTCCCTTTACCACAAATTCGCCTGACAAAGTGAATTTGGTGGTTTTTTGTGTGACTTCTGAGTCGACTTTACAAGCAGGATGCAGCATGGAGTTCAATAGTGCAGCTACTGGTGCTGCTACTGGTGCAGCTACTGGTGCAGCTACTGGTGCAGCTACTGGTGCAGCTACTGGTGCAGCTACTGGTGTAGCTACTGGTGCTGCTACTGGTGCAGCTACTGGTGCTGCTACTGGTGCTGTGACTGGTGCTGTGGCTGGTGCTGCCACTGGTGCTGCACACACTGCATCCCTTAGGGAGGACAAGCGGATGGGTGGGCAAGGGCAACAGCAGGAGTACGAGCAGCATAACAGGCATGGGCAGCAGAATAGCAGTTATACTCATCTGCAGCAGCAACAGCAGCAGTTGGGAGAGCAGCAGCGGGTGCTATGCCCAACTCCAGTAACACAGCCCCCTCTCAACTTGGCTCTCAATGGATTCTCTCCAACCTTCCTGTTGCCACTCAGTCACACCCAGCCGTCCCGAACCTTCCAGACACGCTGCCAAGCCTCCCGAACGCCCCTCCGAACCTCGCCAGTACGCTTCCGAACCTGGCGACCTCTGCAGCACCTGAGATCACTTATCCCTCCATGTCTGACCTAATAGCAGGGTGGTTTTCAGGTGCCAGCCCAGGTGTGACTATGCAGCAATGGGGCTCTATTGGGGGGCTGGGCTCAGGTATAGGACCCAGCCCAGTTGTGACTATACAACCAGGTTCGTTTGCAGTGACTGTAACGCAGTGGGGTTCGTTTGCAGGGGAGGGCGGAATGGGAAACGGGTTTGCAGGGCTCGGAGCGAGCCCAGGTGTGATTATATAGCCATGGGGCTCTATCGAGGGAGCAGCTGGGGTTGGGACAGCAGCAGAGTCTGGTGCAAGGACAGGAACTGAAGCGACAGCAGGAGCAACCCTAGGTGTGACTGTACAGCAGTGGGGCTCTAATGACGGGGTGGCAGCAGCAGCAGCAGCAACAACACCAGAAACAGCACCGGCAACACCGGCAGTAGTGGCAGCAGCAGCAGCAACCCTACCAGGGCTGGAAGCTTCCCTAGAGCAGCTGCTGCAGCAGATGAATCCATCCTCGTTACAAGACGCTAATGCGATAATAGACGCTCTCAGCTTCCAGGCGTCTCTGGCCGCTTTATCCGGACATCTCGTGCTCCCGTTTTCCAACATGCCTGCCCCACACAGTCAGGGGGGGGCCACCACCACCACCTATGCTCCAACTGCCGCCACCAATCCTCCTGCCGCTGCGAATGCTCCTCCCACAGTTGCCAATACCACAGGTGGTTCTGCTAATGAGGAGCGGCCAGGTTCGGCCTGTGAGCTCATGGATAAGCTTAGCTCCTCCAAACGATGTGCCTTTTGAGCCTTCGGAGCTTACCGTATGAGCAATGTCTCATGATGATCTCTTATGGGCGCCTCAAAAGAAAGAACTCCCATCGAATGGTTGAGTCGCTTGCCTCATATGTCACTTCTGCAGGCATGGGGGTTTCCCATGCAGCACTCCCAACCACCTGTCTTCTTCTGTTGGGCGCCTGCTTTCTGCATTACGGTACAATTCATTATACAGTATAGATCACTCCCCCTCAGGGTTCAAGGGGAGCAGACCCTCTACGGTACTTCTCAGCATTTCCCAAGCGCTTGTAGTGGTATATTCTCATTCTTCTTGCCTTGTATTGTATGGCATGCATGGGGTGGTATTCCCAGTGTTTGTTCGGCTGGTTTCCACATCTGATTATACCGTACATGATACTCAAAAGGGTGTACAAAAATGCATGCAATCTTGCAGCCAGGAAGCTGGGCCAGACAACCGCCAGCTATGATACAACTTGCAAAGTTGATGCTGCTTAACCTGCAGCAGGCCAAGTCACATGCAGCCATGTGTCAAGAAGTCCATGAAAACCAGATGAAGAAGAGGCAGAAAGAAGAGGAAGAAGAGGCAGATTGAAGGAGAAAGAGGCAAGGGTCATTGGAGTAAGGAGGGGTGGAGGCCGGGGGATGTTAAGCATGTGAGGAAGCAGTGGCAAGTGGAGAGGGGAGTAATGCGGGTTGAGCAGGAGGTGAGGTGAGGGGTGAGTTCGATGGGGGAAGAGGGAGACTTGGGAGGAGGGACAAAGGAAAAGGGAAAGGGAGGGAGGAGGGGGGGAAAGGGGGAAGGAACGTGGGGCAGATGAGGAATGACCGGGGGAGTGGCGAGAGAGATGATGGGTGAGCGGGAAAGGTAGGTGAGGAGTGAGTGGGTAGGAAGATGAGGTGTGCGTGAGAGAGGAAATGAGGGTGAGTGCAGGAGGATATGAGGCTGGAGGGGAAGGGGGGAGGGAGGGAGGGGGGAGTGGGGAGACAGGGGGGAGATGAAGGGTGAACAGGAGAGAGTTCACGGGGAGTGAGTGGGGGAGGCTAGAAAGGGGGAAAACGGGGGAAGTCAAGGGGTGAGCGGGGAAACGGTGGGGGAGATGATGGTTGAATCATGAGGAGATGAGGAGTGAGTGACGAGGGGATGTAAGTGAGTAGGGAGGGAGATGAGAGGTAGGAGGGTGAGAGAGAAGATGAGAGCTGCGTGAGGACATGAGGGGAGAGCGTGGGGAGATGGGGGGAGAGAGAGGGGAGATCTGGCGAGAGCTAAGAAAGATGTGCGAGGGAAGATAAGGGGGATGGGGGAAACGGGGGAAAGGGAGAGGTTGCACGACATGGAGTCTCCGTGCGACAGCTCGGAAATCCGATCTTCGCGAGAGCTGTAACATGCTCGCCGAAACCCTACGTTCGCGAAACCGTGTAGCATGCTCGTGGACCGCCGCCTCTTGCCAGTCTACTGCCTCCCTTCTATCTTGTGTTCGTTTTAGGTGGCACGGAAAACTATTGACGCGATTAAGTCGCCCGCAAGGCAACGTTTCCATTTCTCCCGTGATCCTTAACTTAGATTTCGTCGGTTCTTACAACTACTGGCTACGGTTCAAATATATAGAGCGCGCATCGAACGTGGCTTATTTCACTTGGATCTGAGACTAGTACTCGTTCAGATGGAAGCGGCTAACACTGAATCCCGACCAATGACAAGACTGATAAGAGGCTACGGCAACAAGATATGGGCAGGCACGCTAATCGGCGAAAAGAACACCAAGAATCGATGAAACCAAGCAATTGAGACGAAGGGGAATGAGCTGGAAGATGATGGATGAGGCCAAGAAACACCTCCCAATTCGATTGGCTCGCACGATTTTTTCTCGATCACCCCTTGCCATTTTCAGCTGCCCCGATCAAGTTCACACGGAACAAAATGATTGCGTGAGCACCTGAACCTTCCGTTCACACATCTCAACGCATTCCCGCATTCCACGCAGAATTCCTCGCAAAAGAATCATAAGTCGGTCTGTACATATCAAACACACGTGCCACGTCAACAACCTCCTAAAGTTCGTTTCCTGCCCCAGCCCCAACCTTTCCTACCCGATATTAGAGTGCCCGTCAAACCACAACACAGCGATACGCGTCCTCAGCAGATCCGCTTATAGCACCTGCAAACCAACCCACATAACTTTACCACCCTTTGTAGTGTACATGTGAAAATAGTTCACGATGTCGAGTCGCGTTGGGATGGGATCAGTTCAAGTTCACATTTGGGCCGCTACGAAATTTGAGTCCATTGGAACACCCTCTGACATTCTCTAGGCGGAAAGTTGCCTTGGCGGCGCCAGCCACCTTACCGCTCCCTCCCAAAACAAGGCTCCACCAAATCTTCACCATCCATCTGCGGCAGCAATCATCTCCGCCATCCGTTCAATATTTTGCAAAACTACCTTGCTATTGCAACAGCACTATCCACCATACCAAAGGCCGCGCGCTTGATCGCAACGCACCGCACTCATCAAATAATAGCGGCTGTAATTTACCAACACACGCAATAGCTTTGGGGAGTCCACATGCACACATTCGGGTCGCCTTGAAAGTCCCCACGGTAAACGTTTCCAAGGCGGGGAATCTCTATGGTGACGGCGGCCATCGCACCATGACACATCACTATGATATCTTCACCATTCATTGGTGGTGGCGATAGCCGCATCATCTCTGCGCCATCTGTTCATCATGAAGTCGCCTCATGTAACCCGCAAACTAGCCGCACCCCCTCCCGCGTTGTATCAGAAGCGAACGTCCGCGCCGCGTTGCGCCACGCCTCACCGCCAACGGCAACTTGAGTTAGAGCGGGAATAATCGATAAACGATATCATACTTCCCGAACCCGCTGGCTGCAACATTTTGAGACGCGCCGCAGCCCGCACCGCACCCAGACGTTTCCGACCTGGATTATCGTTTCCATCGACACACTCCTCCTTGTTCGATCGTTCCATTCCTTCCATCAGAGGATCTACATGTTCCTATCGTCAACTTCATTCTTGGATTTCTACCTTCGCAATCATCTCGTCGGAAGGATTTTTCAGCTCCGTCAAAATCAGCTCCGTCCCAATGAGCTAGTACCTGTGGACTTCATGCGACGAGCAGTCTACTAAGCTACATCATGAAGCCGCCTAAGCTAGCGCAAGGGAAAGGCCAAGGCAAGCAGCAGCGCGTCTTAGAGTCCGTGTAGGTTCGCGTAGGCGTTAGAGTTAGCGTAGAGTCTAGAGTCGTGGGTGGGGTGGGTGGGTAGAGAGACTAGAGAGCTGCTTGCAAGCCTTGGCCGGAACCTTGCACTACGCCCTGTTCTTCGCGGCAAGAACTACATCGTGAGAAACTCCCTTCGGCGAGAACTCTCTGTCAAGATCTCCACTGCAAGACCGCGAGAACCCTGGGAGATCTTCACGGCAAGTTGACCACCGCGATATCTTCACCGCGATTATCATCGGGAAGTGTTCGACTCGAGATCTTCTCAAGACGATCTTCAATGGCGCTTTCCCGGTTGCTGTTGGAGCTTACTACGGGATTGTCATCTCTTCAAAGTGGACGTAAGTACCTCTTTTGCAAAATTTGCAACTGTTTTCTCCTTCTTCATCATTTTTTACTGGATAAACTCTGACGGATTTTTCTTCTTCCTGCAGGACACCGCCTTGGCGCTTCTCGGCCAATCTCTATCGGAAGAACTCAAGCCGAGATCGGCGAACGCCTCGTCAGAAGCGGCCTACTGCTTCGCCTCGGCGCAAAGATGCGCTTCTTCCGTCGCATGGTGGCAATCGCTCCGCCGCAAGGCACTTCGCCAAAGTGGACATCACTACGACCAAGTCGCCTACTGCTCCGGCAAATCCTTGTCCCTCTATTGCGGCATCTTCGTCGCCGCGAGGAGACGATCTTCGTCCCGCTCTTGGTAAGCATCGTCTAATTCAGCTAGTATTTTCTTTTCGATTTACTAATTCTCTCTTTTGTGTTCTCTGTCTTGGTGCAGAAGGAGCGGGATGGGGAGCTGACGGCGAGCAAGAGATTCACACGCGGAAAGCTCTCGCTCTCTCGGTGAGTCTCGTCAATTTCAGCTAGATTCTCTTTTCGTTCTACTAATTCTCTCTTCTGTGCTCTCTGTCTTGGTGCAGAAGGAGCGGGATGGGGAGCTGCCGGCGCGCAAGGGATTTACACGCGGAACGCTCTCGCTCTCTCGGTGAGTCTCGTCAATTTCAGCTAGATTCTCTTTTCGTTTTACTAATTATCTCTTTTGTGCTCTCTGTCTTGGTGCAGAAGGAGCGGGATGCGGAGCTGACGGCGCGCAAGGGATTCACACGCGGAAAGCTCTCGCTCTCTTGGTGAGTCTCGTCAATTTCAGCTAGATTTTCTTTTCGTTTTACTAATTATCTCTTTTATGCTCTCTGTCTTGGTGCAGAAGGAGCGGGATGCGGAGCTGACGGCGCGCAAGGGATTCACACGCGGAAAGCTCTCGCTCTCTCGGTGAGTCTCGTCATTTTCAGCCTAGTCTTCTTTTCGTTATACTAATGCTCTCTTTTGTGCTCTCTGTCTTGGTGCAGAAGGAGCGCGATGGGGAGCTTACGGCGCGCAAGGGATTTACACGCGGAAAGCTCTCGCTCTCTTGGTGAGTCTCGTCGATTTCTGCTAGATTTTCTTTTCGATTTACTAATTCTCCCTTACGTGTTCTCTGTCTTGATGCAGAAGGAGCGGGATGGGGAGCTGACGGCGCGCAAGGGATTCACACGCGGAAAGCTCTCGCTCTCTCGGTGAGTCTCGTCAATTTCAGCTAGATTCTCTTTTCGTTCTACTAATTCTCTCTTTTGTGCTCTCTGTCTTGGTGCAGAAGGAGCGGGATGGGGAGCTGCGAGCAAGGAAGTCACATGCGGAAAGCTATCGCTCTCTCGGTGAGTCTCGTCAATTTCAGCTAGATTTTCTTTTCGTTTCACTAATTCTCTCTTTTGTGTTCTCTGTCTTGGTGCAGAAGGAGCGGGATGGGGAGCTGACGGCGAGCAAGGAAGTCACATGCGGAAAGCTCTCGCTCTCTTGGTGAGTCTCGTCAATTTCAGCTAGATTTTCTTTTCGTTTTACTAATTCTCTCTTCTGTGCTCTCTGTCTTGGTGCAGAAGGAGCGGGATGGGGAGCTGACGGCGAGCAAGGGAGTCACATGCGGAAAGCTCTCGCTCTCGGTGAGTCTCGTCAATTTCAGCTAGATTTTCTTTTCGTTTTACTAATTCTCTCTTTTGTGTTCTCTGTCTTGGTGCAGAAGGAGCGGGATGGGGAGCTGACGGCGAGCAAGGAAGTCACATGCGGAATGCTCTCGCTCTCTTGGTGAGTCTCGTCAATTTCAGCTAGTATTACGTTTACGATTTACTAATTTTCTCTTGTGTGTTCTGTGTCTTAGTGCAGAAGGAGCGCCATGGGGAGCGTCAAGGGAGGTCAAGAAGAAAAGAACGCTCTCCCTATCCTGGTAAGCACGGTCCGATTTCATTCGCTTTTCTTTTTTTCCGAGATTTCTGACTTCGAGTTTCGTTGGTTTGGTGATGCAGGAGGAGGAGGAGAAGCACGCGGCAACACTATAAAGGGAGGTCAATAAGAGAACGCTCTCCTTCTCCTGGTAAGCACGGTCTGCTTTCGTTCGTTTCTTCTTTTTTCGTGAATACTAACTTCGAGTTTCGTGCCTTTTGTGAAGCAGGAGCGGGAGGAGGAGGAGCAGCACGTGGCGACAGCGGGAGGAAGAAGAAACGCTCCCTTTTCCTGGTAAGCACGGTCCCCTTCCGCTCGTTTCTTGTTTTTTCGAGTTTCGTGCGTTTCTTGAAGCAGGAGCGCGTGGAGGAGGAGGAGCGCAGGCAACACCTGGAGTGGGCGGGGGAGGTACCACGCGGCGGGCTGTCCCTCTCTTGGTAAGCATCGTCAGTTTCATTTAGCGTTCTGTTTACGTTTTACTAAGTTTCCCTTTTCTGTCCTGTCTTAATGCAGGAGGAGCGGGATGGGGAGCTGACGGCGAGCAAGGGGGTAAACGGAATGGTCTCCCTCTCCTAGTAAGGTTCGTCAGTGTTTACCTCGTTTCCGGCCATTAGTCTTCTAATTTTGCCCTTTAGCGGCGCTATCTGTTTTCTGTTACCTAACGTTTTCTTCCTTGCCCTTCTGTGCCTTTTAAATGCAGAGGGAGCAGGAGCACGGAGCACGGGCAACACTTGGAGCGGGCGGATGAGGGAACACGGGGCGAGATCTCCCACTTCTGGTAAGTGTCGTCAGTTTCAGTAACTGCATTTTTTTTTCTATGTTTGACTAAGTTTCTCCTTTTGTGTTCTGTCTGAGTGCAGAATGAGCGGGTTGGGGAGCTGGTGGTGAGCAAGGGGGTAACTGAGTGGTCTCCCTATTCCTGGTGAGTTCCGTCAATTTAAGTTGCTATCTTCCTTTTCGAAACACTAACATCCTCTCTTGGTTTTTGTATGTGGGCAGGAGCATGAGCGGGCGCGGAGCGCGGGGAGAGAAGCCGCGCGCCTCGCTGGAGCAAGGAGCGGTGTAAGTGGGTTTGGGCCCTGGGTCATTGGGTGGTTAGGTCTACGTTAGGTGCGGTAGTCAACGTTAGGTCCGTTAGTCAACGTTAGGTGCGCTAGTCAGATCGTTAGGCTCGAATTAGGCTTAGCTAGGAGACGCATTAGCCTTAGCTAGGCTCGGATCTGGGTTACGATCTAGTCTGGACCTAGGCTCGAATTAGCTAGGACGTTTGGTTCGGACGGTCAGGTGTGGTTAGGCGTTGTCAGTTTCGGTTGGGATTGTCTTCGATCTTTCCTATGAGGTTTTTGTGCTCGAGGTGTTACATTTTGCTGCCCTGAATATAATTTTAACCGTCCCCCTTTCTTCTGCCCTGTAAATAAGTCCCCCCCCCTCCAATCAGACCCCGAACGAATGACCAACAACAAAGAACCAAGAAAGGCGAGAAGCTGTGGATCTGCACTGCAGATGCGGTGGTTGACAATTAGGGATCCTAGGGACCTTAGTAAGCACTTGTATCTCTGTATTCAGTTATATAAGTAACTCTGATCTAGGGCGACTTTGCTTAATAGACGAATAAGCAAGGAAATAAAACGAAATAAAACCTTTGCTCATGCTGTGCAGGAAACCAACCTTGGCAGAGTTCAGGCAGCCATAGAACCACACCACACACGTACACCAGACCATAGATACGGAATAAGTTATACTACAGCAGCGACCTGTGACAGATTCCTTCCGCATCGTACGCTTGTCGCAGCGTCCATGTTAGTCGCAAAAGTTAGTTTCAGCTTTAGGATCATCGCTACTTGTACTACGCTAATCAAAATACCGTCGCGATTACTTCGCGACCACACGGCGAGCTGAATCCGTTGACGAATAACAGACTCTCCAATCTTCCTGTTCATACCGCTCGTGAACCATGGCGACGCGAAGGCTGAGAATCTTATTGCTATGCTTTATTTCGTCCTTTTTTGTGTTTTGCTGTTTCGATCGTACCCACTATTATTACTTCGCCGCGTCAGTCTCTAATTTGTAGTGTCTTCTGCGATTTCTCTGCTGCTTTTTGTCCTGAAACAAATCTCATAGTGGCGAGGCAAGTTACCATATTTTTTCTTCGTGCTACATGTTCCCGTCTGGCGAGCCATCGCCTAAACTGTCGGGGAGAAGGAAGGACACGTTTGCGCAGGCGGGAAGGCGTAAGGTATGTGGCCGCGTTCGCATGGCTTTAGTGTAGCGTACGTTGCAAGTAAATTATGATGTTTCTGCTTTTAGGCTTGTTCGTGAACTTTTTTATCCTCTTACATATTTAACGTGGCTTGTTTCTGCTTCTTTTTCTTCGCACAGTTTTCCGGCATTCCGCCTTCCCTTTCATGCCCTCCTGTCGTCCCGCATCCTCCACTCACCCCATCTCGCTCTCCCGTCCCCACCCCCTTCTTTTCCCAAATCTCGACGCAGCTTGAGGAGTTCTGGCAGCGGAAATGAGCCGCTGTGGCGTGTACAGGGGCAGGAGCCAGTGGTATGCAGCAAGAACACGGGACACACGATCAGGTGTGCGGACAAGCAACCGTTTCCAGGTGTGTAGCCGGGCATCAGCACACGAACAAGAAGGACATTGGGCCTGCAGAAAAATCATGCGATGGGTGCTGGAATGCCAGAGACAGAGCAACGCAGGAGAACGTAGTGCTTGAGAGGAGCAGTAGGGCTGCAACCAGTGCTAGCAGCAGCAGTTTTGATCGCGACGACTCGTATGGCTGGCCTTTCCTGGTAACGGGAGTGTTGTGAGCACTTCTGCAGCAGATTCCTCTGAAGGCGAGGCAGGTTATGTTCAGATTGCTGGGAGCCTCGTTTTCAGTTAAGAAGAGCGGTTCTATGCTAGTGTGGCTACAGGCACTGGTAAAATGCTGGCCGTATTGTGGAGCTCAAGTGGCAAGGGAACCGTTCTGTTCTGCAAGCACGTTCTTGGTATATCCACCTCTCCTCGTTCGCACATGCTCGCACAATTGATGTTGGCATTTCCATCCTGCATTCTTTCAAAAACGAACCAACCACATTGCTTCAGCTACCACACACACTTGCTTTTTGTCAACAACACTTCATACAACACTTTCAAAATCTGTGCTACCCTAACCATCTTCCCAATTTCAGGTTCAAACTTCGGTGGTACGATGTTGACAGCACCCACTCCGGTAACATCTACGAGCGGTGGATGATGGACCGGCCTCCTCCAAAGGATTCTTGGAGCGACTCCAAGTGTGGTGGTGTGTAATCACAAAGAACAGAGGCGGTGTTTAAGGCACCTCAGGAACCTGGGGAATTGTCTCCCGGTGGTGCTTCTGCGAATCTGCTTTGGGGGATGAAGTCGCCACTTCCAGGCGAATCAAAGGAAACGGCGCCGGTGTTTAAAGCACCTCAGGAGCCTCGAGCAGCAGCGCTTCCATCGGGGGCTGAGGCACAGAAAGCGAGTGCAGGTCTGGTCACACCAGGCCTAACAGGCCTGGAAAGGCTCACCGCGGAAGCAGCAACGCTTCCATCAGGAGCTGAGCCACAGAAAACGAGTGCAGGTCTGTTCAAGGCAGGCCTAACAGGCGTGGAAAGGCTCACCGCGGAAGCAGCAACGACGGTGGTTCCCAGGTCCGATCAGAAATCGCTGGCAGCAACAGCGGCTGCTTGTGGTGCTGCTGCAGATAATGCAGCACAGAGAGAAGCAGCAGCAGCAGCACCAGAGGTGGTTACGCAGGGCAACAAAACTGCACCAGCATTGGGAAAAGCAGCAGCACCCGCAGCACTAGCAGTGGCACCTCTACCTTCATATCAGGCCAGTCCTTCAAACCCAGCCAGCCCTGCTAAGCGCACTCTGCAGCACAGCCAGTCCGCCCGGCTCCCACCCCAGGACCGGCCGAAGTTCTCCCTCCGGAGCTCCAGCTTCGGGTGCCGAGGCTCGGCATCAGGCTCGGAACAGTTTGAGGCTGGTTCGACTCAAGGAGAAGCAGCCTCGGGCATGGAGGATATGATATTTGAAAGGGGGAATGTGGAGAGTCGGTCCAACCCCTTGGAAGAGGCGAGTGGTGGGCTGGACAGTTGGGGCGGGAAATTACTTCTGAGTCGACTCAAGAGTCGAGTGGTGGGCAGAGAAAGGATGGTGTGTGGTCAGGACAGGTTTTAGGGAGCGGAAGACGAGGGGGCCGGCAGCTTGCCAGCGTGTTGAAAGCAATACGAGCCATGCCAATGTGAGTGAGAGACACGCTACTGGCAGTGAGGCGAGAGGTGGTGGGAGGGGAGATGGTGGGGTGAGAGATGATGGGATGGGAGACGGTGGGGTGGGAAATGGTGGGGTGGGAGACGGTGTGGCTATTGCTGGAAGCAGGGATGAGTGTGTGGGCGTTGGTGGGGGTGGGAAGGGCCGGTCTGCGCTAATGCAAGGGGAGGAGGACGATCAGTTGGAACGGCAAGGGCAGCAGAACGAGTACGAGCAGCACCATGGGCAGCAGTGCGGGGAGCAGGGGGAAGATGACGAGGAGGGAAGGGAGGAACGTGAGGAGAAGGAGGAAGAGGAATACGAGGAGGAGGGGGAGGAGGGACATGAGGAGGACGGGGAAGGGGAGGAGTTGCAAGAGGACGAGGAGGTGTATGAATACATGGGTGTGCGCTCAAGTCTCACCATCACCCGCAGCAGCACCATGCCCAGCCACCCCTCCTTGCACATCCACATCCCCACCCAGCCACAGTCAACTATTTCAGAGCATCCCAGTCTGCAGCTTGTTGACTCGGAGCCTAGTGCGTCTCACTATCATGAGCCCACAGAGACACCTATGGATTCGGGTGATTATGACTTGGACGCTGCGGCTGGTGGCAGAGCCAGAAGTGGTGCTGATGCAGCAGCCGTGGCCATGATTCGTGGTGATGCTTCAGCCTGTTCTGCTGATGCTGCAGCAGCCTCGTCTCCACCGCCAGTTTCTCCTCCTGCTGCTGCTGCTGCTGCTGCTGCTGCTGCTGCTGCTGCTGCTGCTGCTGCTGCTGCTGCTGCTGCTGCTGCTGCTGCTGCTGCTGCTGCTGCTGCTGCTGCTGCTGCTGCTGCTGCTGTCACAGCGCCTGCAAGCACGGGTGCTACGCCCAACACCATCACTGCAGCCCTCTCCCTTGTAAACCCACCTCTGCCTGTTTCTGCCGCACCTGCTTCTGCCGCACCTGCTTCTGTCGCAGCTGCTTCTGCCGAGGCTGCTTCCACTCTCCCTGCTTCGGGTTTCGGCCCGAGTCCGTTTGGTCAACTTGCCTCTCATTGGATTCTCTCCAACCTTCCGCCCCACCCTGTTGCCACCCAGCCAATCCCAGCCGTCCCAAACCTTCCAGACGTGCTGCCGAGCCTCCCGAACGCCCCTCCGAACCTCGCCAGTACGCTTCCGAACCTGGCGACCTCTGCAGCACCTGAGATCACTTATCCCTCCATGTCTGACCTAATTGCAGGGTGGTTTTCAGGTGCCAGCCCAGGTGTGACTATGCAGCAGTGGGGCTCTATGGGGGGACTAGGCTCAGGGATAGGAGCAAGCCCAAATGTGACTATACAGCCATGGGGTGCTTTAGGGGGGATGGGCTTGGGAACAGGACCTAGCCCAGGTGTGACTATGCAGCAATGGGGTACTGTGGGAGGGATAGGCTCAGGAATAGGAGCTAGTCCGAGTGTGACTATGCAGCAGTGGGGCTATATGGGAGGGATGCGCCCAGGGGTAGCAGCAAGCCCAGGTGTGACTGTAACGCAGTGGGGTTCGTTTGCAGGGGGGGCTGGAATGGGAAACGGGTTTGGAGGGCTTGGAGCGGGCCCAGGTGTTATGGCGGGCACTACTTGGTGACGGCACAGCTGGAATCTAGGTTCTCATTCTCACAGTGCAGAAGGCACATTGCATGCACTCTAGATTCCATGTACTGTACTTGAGTTGGTGAGTTGTTTTAGGGACCCTCCTCATTCAGAGTGGTAACATTGCTGTGCCCTGCATACGCCACTAGCATCCTTGATAAGGGATTGGCACTACATTGCCTCCTGTGTGACATCTTGAGAAAGCCTCGCACGCACAAGCATGAGGCCATCAGGACAGAATTACAGACGTGTTCATTTGAAGGTCATTGCATGAATGTAGCTCCATCAAGCCACAGGCTAACAGAAACAAAAGGCTGTCTTGCTGAGTCAAATCCTAAAACCTACATGACAAGAGAGCATTGAGACTGCATAGTGTAGAACCGTAACTACCCCATACAAGTGGAAAGAACAGGAACAAAGCTTGGCAGGGAGGGAGACACGATAGAAAGGTGAAGCTTGTATGGAAGAGGGGTAAAGAATGGGGAGCTTAGGCAAGGAGAGCAGGAAGGAGATTAAGCGAGAAACAGCAGCTTAGGGGGAGTATGCAGTACCTGCAACAACCGTGAGCAACAGAGGTATAACCCTTCCCCAAACTGCACAGAGCAGCCAGTCAGCCTGAAAAACCCAGCGCACAACACCTCCCACCACCACCTGTCACGCCCTGTCCCTCTTCCCCACCCACACAGCACCCACCCACTCATCGAATCTGGCTCATAGAGCACACAAGCCCAGAAGCATCCGCGCCCACCACAGCCAGATCACACACAGCACACACAGACCCCGCACACTCCGGCACGAAGCGGGCCCCGCAGTAGGGGCAGAAGGAGTCCCTGCTGCCGCGGTAAATCGGCACGAAAGTCGACCCGCACACGACAAACGGGTTGCGCGGGTCGTAATTCAGCTGCTTCTCATCGCGCGGGTTCTTCTCGCACTCTGCCAGGATCTTCCGCACCTTGGTGGCCACGCCAGCGGTGGGGTTCAGCTCGAGGAGGCGGCGGCAGATGCTGGCCGTGGTGGCAAAGAGCTTGAGCTTGAAACCGGCAGCCATGGCTGCCTGCAGGCTGAGCTTCAGGTGAGCTGGTTGCAGCTTGCAGTGCGTGAAGTATGCTGCCAGCTCGGCCTAGAGAGGAGAGAGAGAGAGAGAGAGAGAGAGAGAGAGGGGGGGAGGTGATGGGGGACAGGGGTGGGGGTGGAAGGGAGAGGTGTGCACACCCAAGCGGAGAGATGCAGTGGGACGGAGAAAAGAATGGTATGTGCAGACCACACACGCACACATACCCCTCAATATAAGAAAGCACGCATGTATTGCCTTGCAGCTGTTGTGTTGCCAGATGCTCTTTCAAACAACAAACATACTTGCCACGTTGCTGTAGCTACGAAAGCAACAATTACGAAAGCATATGCAGCAGGCAACAAGGCCAATCTCTAGAGATTAAGGTCAACCACCGCACTGGTTAAAAGCACATTGAAGTCAGCAGACAAATCAACACAAACAGGGGTGTTCTGACCTGGCGGACGGGGTTGTCGCGGGTCTCTTTCCTCTTGAGCTCGATGCGCAGCGCGAGCGTGTACTCCTTGGAAATGCCCAGCAGCTCCTTCACCTCGTCCACCTCCTTGCGCGTCTCCACCACCAGCAGCGGGATCGTCTGCAGAATGCCCAGGAACAGGCGCAGCGCGTCCGTGAACTTGCCCTCCGTGGTCATCTTGTACGCCGCGTTCAACTTCTCATCCAGCGCACTCAGGCGGAACGCCATGGACGGGTGCGCCCACACATTCGGAGGAGACGTCTCCGTCCAGCCCGCTTCCATCCCGAGGGCGATGGCAGGCACGGATGGGAGGGCAGGGAGGGACGTCTGGCTGGCAAGAGACAGGTCCAGCATGCCCTGACGCAGCGGAGCGAAGTTCTTGATGCCCAGCTGGCGGCTGAGCTGGCGCATGGCCGCGTCGAACGCGCCTGCTGCTGCGAGCTCTCCGGCAAGAGGCGTCTTCTGGGCCCACTTCTGCGTGATGGGAATGCCAGGGCTGGGCGCCACAAAGAAGGTCGTATCGGCACCAGAGCCCACGTCGCCCGCGCCGCCATCGTCGGGAATATCCACATCGATGCCTCCCCACCCGTCCTCGTCGTCCTCGCCCTCGCCCTCACGCTCCTCCTTCTCGCCCTCGCCCTCCTCCGCCTCTCCCTCCGCCCCCTCGCCCACATCCGGGATATCCACGTCGCCCCACCCAGCTCCCACCTCCTCGTCCGCGCCAGCAGCCGCGGCAGTGCCAGCATCCCCGAAATCCCACATAATGCCCTTGCTAACGTTCAGCAGCGGCCAGTTGTCCTGGCGCAGGATGGGCGTGGGCGGCAGCAGCAGCTTCGCAGTGCCGTCCGCAGGGAGGGGAGGCACGCGGTCGCCTAGCTCCTCCGCCAGACGAGCAGCCGTCTCCTCCAGCCCATGCACTGCCGCAGTAACATACGCCAGCGGCGCGTGCCCAGACTCCTCCAGGATCTTCACCCGCTCCTCCACATCCCCAAGGTAGAGCGCGTTATGGAAGCGCCCCATCACATCATTGCGCATCTCGGCAATCTTGAGCATCTTACCCAGCTTCTCCAGGTTCCCCGTGATCAGATACAGGAAGGAGAGGCGCTCAAAGTTCTTGGTCTTCTGGTAGGAAAATTCCACAATCTGGTGGTTACCCTGGCGGAGCGCCTCAACACCCAGGCGGTACCAGGTATCCTTGTGGTCGATCTCATGCGCGGACGCCAGCGCCACCTCGATGTTCCCGCACTCGATCGCCAGGTTGAAGCGCGTGCGCTCGTCCTTCACAAAGTGCAGCGCCACGTCTGGGAAGCCCTTCTGCTGCAGGTACGCGATGATGCTCTGCCCGCACAGCTGGAAGCTGCGGATCATGGCGAGCACCTGGTCGTACTTGCGCTGGATCAGCGCCAGTTTGAACATATACTCAGTGGAATCGATCTGCACCACACGCATCTTCCCGTCGCGGTCCAGGCAGTACACAGCACCGGCTTCCACCTTGGTGATATACACGGGCACGTCGAGGGTTCGGATGATGCCGCTGTCGCCGTTGGGGAGGCAGTACTTGAGGTGGTTCAGAGTGGTGTAGATGAACACGCCCGAGTCGTCCCACCCGCCGCTCTTCACGCGGATCGTCTCGTGCACCGTGCAGCGGTGCGCCAGGCGCTTGTTCGCGATGATGATCGCGTGCTTGGACAGCAGCGCCACGTGGTTCATATCCGCCGACCACACCACATACTTCACGAACGGAGTCGTGAGCTCCGCGATCGCAGCCCGCTGCTGCACGTCAAACAGAACGACCTTATCGTCGGAGCGGCAGAGCAGAGACCCAGTGCCAGCGTAGAAAATCGCGTCTGTGGAGGCGACAGGCGGGGGGCACTTCTTGGTGACCTCATTGCGCAGGTTCTTGATAACGATCTGGTCGTGGCTCTTGTCCAGGACCGCGAACCTGTTCCGCGCCACAAACACAGCCGAAGTTCCCGCGCCCCGCTTCGCCTCAGGCGCTTCCGCCGCGCCGCCCCCGCGCCCGGCGTCCTTGGGAACGGTGTACAGCTCGTAGCTACCGCCATCCGCATCCGAGCAGATCAGAACGGAGTTCTCCGCGGGATTGTAAGACAGCGAGCGCGGGCCCTGGTTGCTGCCCGTGGTGCCCGGGCGGCGGATGGAGATGAGAGGGTTATCGCGGCCAGAGCCAAACTCGTACGTGCGGATGTAACGGTCCTTGACATAGTACAGGATGTTGCCGTGAACGGCGTACGCAGGGCGCTCGCGCTCCAGCTTGAAGACGATCATGCCGCTGTCGTGGCCCGCGGCCAGAAGGTTCATTTCCGGGTGCGCGGCGAGGATCCAGAAGCGGTCGTGTTCGCGGCGGAAGGACTGCGCGCTGGTGCGCTTGGACATGTCCCACACGCGGATGCTCTTGTCCTCGGAGTTGGACACGATGATGTCCTGCCGCGCGTGGAAGAGAACGCACGACACGTTGTTCACGTGCCCGCGCAGCGTGTCCACCTCCCACGCCTTGGTGTCTGTAAGGGCGGCGGGCGGAGCGGGAAAAAGACATGGTGGCGAACGGGATGGGACAGCGAAGGCAGCGCGAAGGGTGGGGGAAGGAAGAGCGGGCAGGCCGCATCGGTGATAAGGTTGAGCGGGAAGAAAGAACTACGATTTCCTTCATGCCATGCGAATTCAAAGAGCGCGGCTCTGCCCTACGCAAGGAGCGGGACCGGATCTCCCTCGCTCCGACTCACCATTCATGCGCCACAGCTTCACTTGACGGTCGTCAGCGCCGGACACGATGAGCGGCAGCGAGGGGTGGAACGCGGCCCAGTTAACCCCGCGGTCGTGCCCCTCCAGCACGTGCTTCACCACGGCGTCCCCTCCGCCGAACAGATCCGAGTTCATCTGCGGCAGGCGCACCACGTCCTCGGACGGCGCAACGGACTTCTTGCGCAGCGCGCCGATGTCCCACACGCGCACGGTCTGGTCCAGGGAGGCGGACACGACGAGATCCTCCTTGGGGTGGAAGGCGGCGCACATGACGTAGTGGTTGTGACCGGT